CCCCAAATCAAGCCCCACTCCTCCTCTTCATCTTCCCAGCCCCCACCTTGTTGAAAGCTCATTAAAAGACCTGCTGTTAATGAGCTAGAGGGATCATAGAACTTCATTTTCATTAGTGGGGGTGGGGGTGGTGGGGTTAAGGCCAGAGATGCTGGTGCAGAGGTTTTTATGCCCTTAAAATGGAGTCAGCAATTATCCCAACCCCTTGACACTCCCCACCCATCCTGCTCTGCCTCCTAACATGCCCACAAACAATAACCAAACTGCCACCCGGCACCCGCCTCCCCCTCCAATTTTGTATCCTGAGAAATCCTGGCCACCCGTGTCCCATCACAGCTTGCTGCACCCATCGCACAATCTGTGGAGTGACTGACACCAACTCAAACGCACTCACGCACACACACACGGTAACTAGTGCACTCCCCCTCCTAACTGGCAGAATTACATTACAGTGTTTCCAGACAAAGCGAGTAACATCACAAGGATGTAAACAAGGACTGAGGGTCCCTTATCCAAACACTCACATTAAAAATTAATAACTCAGCGCTGACTGTGGTCCTCAGAGGAACGACCCGCACTGACTAAGACAACATCCTGGTGAGAAAGGACACTTAAAAATAGTTTCAGAAGCTTTGTTGTCCCAGAACAGGAAACAAAATATTCATGGGAGAAAAAAAGAAAAAAAAAGAAGAAATGAACGAAGAGAACAGAAAGACAGACGAGGAGGGAAGAAAATCTCCAAAATGTAAAATATTTCACCTCACACTTTATTGAGGCTCCTTGTGACAACTGACAAGGTCAATTACAAAATGGCATCAAGTTTACAAAGACAGCAGGAGCGGCGAAAGCTTCACGATAACCTAGAAAAAAAAGCAAACAATGTAGGGAGATAATATTAACAGCAAGCAATAGCAATAAAGTCAGTATATATATATATGTATATACATACATAAAAATAAATCCCTGAACAGTTACACTGCACTCTTTCATAATCCACTTTTAGAAAACACAACAGTTTATTTTGACCTGAATGCAGCAGACATCAGACAAAGTCATCACAGTAGTCACGAGAGGGGGAAAAAAAAAAAAAGGGTGGGGGCAATCTGCCTGAAGGCTCTGACCTGATCCCAGGATGGAGGCTTCAAGCAGAGTCTGCGATATGTACACACAAACAAAAAAACGCCCAAAAACGTACATACAACTCACTCGTGCAAGCCCTCCAAACCTGGCGAAACATGCGGCGTCCATAAATTAGGAAGAACTGAGACACAGGAAAGCAAGAAAAGAAATTCAAGTTACTGCAAAGCATGCACGAGCTTCAACCAGTCCAGTAATTTACAGATGTAAACAATGAAAGACAGATATTACCATCACAACCGTCACTGAGAGAAAACAAAAATAATACACACCCGTTTCACATGTAGGTAAAATTGCTGTTTTTCTTGTGTTTTTTCAAATTTTTTTTTTTTTAAATGCATAGAAAAAAATGAAAGGAAAACATCAGTAGACTTTAAATTCTCTTAATTTCACATTTATATTTATATTTAAAAAACCCAAAACAAACAAAAACAGAACAGATAGTCATCCACACACACACTGTGACAAAGTCAGGAGCACAACCTTGCTTTAGGCCCCGCGAGCCTTGTAAACATTACGTTAAGTGACAAGTGTTGTGACAAGCAAGCGCCTTTAAAAAGAGGAGTCTGAGAAACTGCAGGCGGGCAGTGTTTGGATTCATTTCCCCCCTCTGTGTCTGTTCAAACCGCTTTAGCCTTTAAAAGGTCTTCTCATAAGAAAACCAGCAATGGCTATGCGGCACAATATGACCTCTCTCCATCTGAAAATATATTAAAGTTGCTCTATTGTCAGGCTTTTTCCCTTTTCTTTTTAAATTCAACATAAACCGTTTTCTGCACCGCGTGGCAGTTAAGATCTGCCTCCACCTGTCCAGCGGGTCACCAGAGACATAAATCACATGTCTTTTGCATCCTGCACTGCAACATGGTGATCAGTTTCCTGTGTCGGTGTGGACTGTGGCAGTTCACTTCCTGTTCGAGAGCTATGGTAATCTCCCTGCTGAATGTCATGGCCTTGTTTTTCTCTGTGGTCTAAAAGAACTGTAGGCACTTAGTTTCAACTGGCAGCTGCGCACATAATCGTGAACAACGTCTTCTGGGGGCGGCTTTCTATACACAGATGCACACACCTGCAGCTTCTTTAAACTGCACTTTAACTCAGTTTCTTTTTGTTTTACTAAATGGGGGGTTAAATTCTATACAGTGCTTTTTTTGTTGTTTTTATTTGAGAGACTCTCAGGGTGCAGGAGTCAAAGCTAAAGGGGCCTCCGTGCTGCTCTCAGGCGGGAGGTCGTTCGCTATGGCTGGACTCCTGCTGCTCTCCATGTACTCTTGGCTTTGCCTTTCCTCCACCTCCATGGTGCTGGACATGCTACTCGGCATTCTCTCCATCTCTATCTGATCCAATCCGGCTTCGTCCTCCTCCATTTTCACCACCGCTGCAGCTTTTCCCCCTGCTTTTATTGCAGCCAGAGTATCTGCGGCGCTGGCCTGCGCATATGCTCCCACGCTGGCGTGACTCAGGCCGTGAACCTTCTTCAGGTGTTTCTCCAGAGTTGCATAGACGGTGAAGGGCACCGCGCACAGCTGGCACAAGAAGGACGCCTTTGCGCCCTGGGCTCCGTGGGTCTTCATGTGGCGCGTCAGCTTTGAGCTCTGTGCGCAGGCGTAGTTGCACAGGCCGCAGCGGTAGGGCCGCTCGCCGGTGTGGCTGCGGCGGTGCACGGTCAGGTTGCTGCTGTTCCTGAACTGTTTGCCGCAGAACTCGCAGGCCTCGTCCTTCTTCTTCTTCCCTGGCGCTCCAGCGGACGCGCCGCCGCTGCCTGCTGTGCTCACGCTTCCCGTCACGGTCCTCCGCTCATTGTCCCTCTGCCACTCCTGCACTGCCTCGCTGACTTTGGCCGAGCTCCACTCCTTCTCGATGATCTCTTTCGTTCTTTCGTTCTCCCACTCTCCCACACCTCGCACCTTGTCGCTCACCTCAGGACGTTTTGGAGTGCAGTTTCCGCTGGCGATGCCGCTCTCGCCGCTGCCGCCCGTCTCTCCGCTCTCCAGCGAGCCTTCAGAGGGGCTGGCGCAAGGCGAGGTGTGTGGAGCCTCTGCATGTACCTCCGTCTCCTCCTCACCTCCCTCTCTGGTGGTCTGGTAGAGCCTCAGCAGCTCCCTCTCTGGTGGTCTGACCTGGGAGGGCAGCAGCACTAGACCTGAAGCCAAGGATGGGTGTTTGGGGAAGGTCAAGTCCAGCTCGGAGGGGATGTGGGCCATCAGGTCTCCCTTCCCCGTGATTCCCGCTGGCTGAATCTGAAGCCTGCCTCTTGGCCCCTGCCTCCCTCCTTCCTCCTCGACCATCTCCACAGACTCGTATCCACTTCCTCCTCCTCCGGCCTCCCGGTGATGACTCCTTATGTGACGAGCCAGCTGGCCACTCTGGGCGAACGCCTGGCCGCACACACCACAGTGATAAGGCCGCTCGCAGGCGTGAGTCCGGCGGTGGGCGGAGAGGGCGCGGAGGGACTGGAAGTTCTGGTCACACAGCTCACAGTGGAAGTCGGCCTGGAGGGCGCTTGTCTGAGGAAAAGGAGAAGCTTCCGGTGGAGAAGAAGAGGGCGACAGCACCAGGCCTCCGGGGGAGCCACTTGTTGTGTTGTTATTCACCTCGGCAAGCTCCCTGAGCCGCACGGAAAAGTTCAAAGTCTGCAGGTTCCTGGAGGAGGAAGAGGAGGAGGAGGCAGGTGACGAGGAGAGGGGGCCGTGGGACTGACGGGAACGGCCAAGACGTGGGACGGAGGGTTGGAAGGCTGAAGCGAGCGCTTGGGTCAGGTGTCGTGGGTCCAAAATGGCTGCAGCACTTTTGTGGTCTTTAAGATCCCTACTTCCTCCTCCTTCCATGACAGCGTCGCCCTCATCCTCCTGGTAGATGCTGAAGGAGTGCGTGTGCTGAGCGTGCTGTAAGAGCAACCACGCGGACTGGAAGACGGCCTCACACTGCTGGCAGATGAAATACAAGGGCTCCTCTGGCACTGCAAACACAGACCAAACAGAAGTGAGTTAGTGGTTTTGATACAGGACGTTAACTAAGAGTACAGCTAAAAGTGTCCAGCACCCACCGCGGGACAGGACAAACATGCAGCCACCTGAAGAGGCGGTTCTCAAAAGATCAATCATTCAGTTCAGTCAGGTCAATCATTAACAGCAGAAATGGATCCAAGGTCAGTTTGAAAACCACTGCTTTAGTGTCCACAAACACTTCACACATCCAGCAGATACACAGACACCTTCTCTGCAATAATGCAATAAGGATCTTTATTCACACCCCATAAATTTATACACAGGCATCAATAATTGTATTTTGACTTTCATATTTACACTTAAAACCTTATTTACTTTGATATCTGTATCTCATTTTCTTATAGCTTTCTGTTCTTGGTTAAAAATGTATTAATTATATTTTATTCCAGGTGCACACCCACGTGTGGGGGAACAACATTTCGGATACGTGCATGTCCTGCACATGTGTGTCTGTCCTTCGAGCTCTACTTTTGGTCTCCACCACCTTCTCAGTGAAATATATCTTTAGTTCCTGATTGTTTACTGGCTCATTGCTGCTTTAAATAAGTTAATTTAAAAAACTCATTTTGACAGCTGGAAAAAGTTTCAAAGACTTTGGGCTACTGGACTTAAAATTTTGCAGAGCAACTTTTTTAAAAGAGTGAAAGATAACATATTCAGAGGGTTAGGGTCATCACGGAAGATGACTCAGACCTCAGAGGGTTAAACATAAAAAGCCACTGATAACCCACAACATTAAAACCAAAGCTACTTTCGGCCGCTCCCTTTTTCACACGAAGGTCTCGACAGTGAGCAGCTCTGCATGTTTGGTGCAACAGATTTTTTTACACTTTGTGACACAACACCGAAGAGATTTTTGTCTCCTCCCGGGATCAAACCAGGGATCTTTCCGCTTGATAGGCTATGGCTAGCCACTAGCCACAACATGAAAACCACTCGCCTGATATCATGTGACCCACTGGGCATGAGCAGGTGGTATTTCTGCACCCTGTGGGTTGTGGCTTGGGGTGGATTGGGCTTGTTCTGGCACGTCCTAGGGATACTTGATCGGACTGAGGATGTTGTGCTCCTGAACAATTACAGATCTTTGTGTGTGGGAGGGAGAGGCTTCTGCCATCAGGGAGTGCTAGTGCTTTTCTACTCTAATTGTACGCTCAAAACACTTTATACATTTCTCATTCATTAATACAAGCAGTGCTTTCTGTCCAACATCCAACTCCGATGAACTGATTGGGAACAACTCTGGGTTGACTCAGGGCATGAAGACTGGAGTAGGCAGGGATCAAACCACCAACTTTCCGATTAGTAGATGACCTGCTTTACCTCCTGAGCCTCCTTTAGATGTCAAATTGACGCCCACACAAGTACCAGGACTCAAGTTTTCTTTTTCCAGTAAAGCTTTAACTTCTCATTGGTTTTAATGTCCTGGCTGCTTTTAAAGATGCTTTGAAGCGATTAAACTGAACAGTATAAGACTATAAGAAGAGTAGTACAGACAGACTGCTGCAGTTTAAATGCATTAAAGGTGATGAGAAGACCTAAGGCCCAACTAAGGAAAGGAAGAACTGAGGGAGGCAAAAGTGCGACCTGAAGAAAGAGAAATCAGGATCCGGAAACTGGAAGTCCAACAGCGAGGCGAGCTGTGTCACAGAGTACATCTGGAGATATTTTTATATGTGGATAGCTTTGTCTCCTCACCGAGAGCCACTCTCCAATTAAGCTGCAAATTGCTAATTAGCAGAACGCAGAAAACGAACGCTTTATGTAAATCAGGCTCTGACTCAGCCTGCTTGACAAATGAGGCCTTTCTGCATAAATCAAAATTGGAGAGAAGATTCCCAAATTGCGGGAAAAAAAACTATTTTTTTCTCTCCTCTCTTTCTCTTTTTTTGGAGAGGTTCAAAGCCGACTCTGGTATAAGCCTCTTTCATGTTTCCTCAAGTTAAATCCTTCTGTATTTTACTGGAGGGGGAGAGGGGGGGGGGTGAAGATGAAAAAGAGAGCAACTGTTTCTCCCCCCCCCCTTCGCCATCCCCTCTGTCTGGAGACGACAGGGGCTGCGGTGTTCGAGTCCTTTAACCTAGCCTGAGGAGAAACCCAGGAGAAGTTGTGATACTTCTTTTAAAAATAGGGTGAGGAGCTGGAGCAGGAAAAAAAAGAAGGGGAGAGAGATAGGTAGGTCAGGGCTCAGGAGATAAAAAGAAAATGAGATAAAAAGATTATAATGTAGTACGGGGGGCTGAGAGATGCCACAAAAATATGTCACCCCTTCGGATTGGAGCTGAGAC